GCTACAGGTCTGTAATTTGAACAATCATATACACCACCCTCCCTTTAGAGTGGAGTAATTGATGCTTCTTTCCATGATAAAGGACACATTTTGTCTTTGGATAACAGGATATCACTAACTTCATTATCGCCATGACCGATTGACGATAATGGGTTATCAATTTTGCACGATTCGATTATCGGAAGGTCTGATTAATTCGAGTAGAATGCGTTTAGGACATTGACAATATCTAGAGTATAATCCTACATTCATAAGATACAAATGAGGGACAAAATACACTATCAGGTTGTGTTTTGACATACTTTTTTTTAACTAAGCGCCTTGGTTCCTTGTTCCTTTTTTATTCTTTATATTTTCTTCTACTTTGGATTCGTGAACCCTTTTGGTTTTTCTTACCGATGATATGACTGTGTTTCTATGTTGTCACAAAATAGTAGAATCTAACAATATCAAGAAAAATGTTGATGAAATACACGATATGATTATGGTTGATCAACGTCTCACCAGACGCCACACACCCAATACAGAAGGCATTTCTCATGAGAGCGCCTAGAACGATCTGGGGAAGGAGCTGAGCATAACAAAGGTCACGGCACACTGGGGTCCAGGGCTTCTGACTTCTGATCAGAAAGACTCCATGTTCATCATCTCTTGTGAGAATGTACGTCGTTTTGTGAGCGGTTGTAACAATGGATGAGCCGTGGGTTCGCCACTATCAGCCAGATACTCAACAACAGTCAAAGCAGTGGCATCATCTAACATCTCCTCCTATGACGTATACGTCTGTTCCGCCAGCTGGCAAGTTCATTGCTTCGCTTTTCTGGGATTACAAAAGAATCCTACTTGGGGACTACCTCCGCAAGGTCAGACCATTAATGACCAATAATATGCTAATATATTCAGGCAACTGTATGAGAATATCTAGACTAAACGTCGGGAAAACAGAACAAGGTGTGTTGTCATCTAGGCTTTGGTGCCTGAGCCTGAACTTATTGGACATTCTCCGTATTCACCAGGGCCTCGTTCCACAACGCAATCATAGCGCTCCCACACTGAACTTTCCAACTTGAAGAAAGCGCTGTCTGGCAAGCATTATGAAAATGATGATGACGTCATATCTGCTGTGGAGGACCTTTACACTACCAGGAGAAGCCACCAGTGGGATATAGACACTTCAGTATCGCCGGGAGAAGCCACCAGTGGGATATAGACACTTCAGTATCGCCGGGAGAAGCCACCAGTGGGATATAGACACTTCAGTATCGCCGGGAGAAGCCACCAGTGGGATATAGACACTTCAGTATCGCCGGGAGAAGCCACCAGTGGGATATAGACACTTCAGTATCGCCGGGAGAAGCCACCAGTGGGATATAGACACTTCAGTATCGCCGGGAGAAGCCACCAGTGGGATATAGACACTTCAGTATCGCCAGGAGAAGCCACCAGTGGGATATAGACACTTCAGTATCGCCGGGAGAAGTGTGTGGACCTATGAGGGTACTATAGGATGAGAAATAACTCCATCAACACAGTCCATCATAGTTAGGCCCAGAACCTTTCAGCCACCCATCTATGTGCTCGTTCTTGACAAGATTGATAAAAAATGAACTTTATAATGCATTATGATACTGAAATTGTCTTTACCAGTGTTTTTTGTGATTGGTCTGAAGCCTGAATCCAACTATCATATATGTTCAGCTGACATCAAACATAAGCATCGTTGGGATTAGTACAATCATATCTCAGGTATAAACTAAATAAATGCATATTAATAGAATGTATTATTCAAGTGAACAGTTTTTAATGGTACTTCATTTACATTCTTGCCAAGTAACTCATAACGAATTGAGTAATTTAAAGTAATTGACTACGATTGTAAGTAAACTAATGTGAAAATGAAATCCTTAAATTAATCAATAATTACCGTTTAGGAAATAATATCAGGATAAAAATGGGTGCAATGACATCCTGCAACTTGTGTCACAGACAAGTACCACAAACCATTGTGGATATTCTGACACGTTGCTGTGTAGGGAGCTCACGTAGCACTGCCCCGGGGGCTCACGCCGCCTTCCCATTTCCGACACCAAACTCCCACCCCAGGGTGACGTATACAGTGATAATGACTGTCCGCGGATCGCACGCTGCTCTCGTGTGTCCGTATGCTGTGACGGTATGCTCTATCGACTCGTGTAAAATGAAACTTTTAAACATTAGCTGATGTAGTAAAAACACGGGGTCATGGCAAGCAATGCATCGAACTTCTCTGTTTACGCTTCGTGACGCTTCAGTTCATATACTCGATAAACGCCTAGTTTTAGGTCAGATACAGTTGCTATAAACAACCTTGATTATCAGCAATTATTAGAATGCTTATTAAAGACTGAGTTTAAACATTTTCTCAACTTGAAGTGAGTTGAACATTACGAAATGAAAAATGCGGGTTACTCCTGAAGACGTCGCAATGCGTAACAATAGTCGGACTATCTTGACGTCATGACGTGGCTATAAAGTTTAAAATATGACATTGACGCAATCGAGAATTTACGGAAATACCTAGATACGTCAAAGTGTGTCTACGTGAAAGTGTGTCTACGTGAAAGTGTATCTACTTGAAAGTGTGTCTACGTGAAAGTGTGTCTACGTGAAAGTGTGTCTACGTGAAAGTGTGTCTACGTCAAAGTGTGTCTACGTCAAAGTGTGTCTACGTGAAAGTGCTTTATGAGTTTGATAAGAGACACTCATCTCCAGTGAATCAAACGGACATCATTGCATTGCAAGTTCTTTCTCAGCTGCCAAAAACGAAATGTTTGTATCTTTAGGCAGGAGTACTTACTTTAGACGAGAGATGGGGTTCAAAGGGGGCATTCTCTTCCACTTAGGACTTTGGTCACACGATGTCCACAAAACTGCGTCATATGTTTTACAAACAGGTGTAACAATATGGGCTCTAACAGGTGTGACAATATGGGCTCTAACAGGTGTGACATGGGGACATTCCTCACCGAGACTTCTGGCAATATGTGAAGTGGGATGGACAATGTCATGCCGCAGCTATGTCAAGTTCGGTAATGAGAATATGATAGATAAGGGACCGAGATCTGCGAGATTCTTTGTAGCAACAAAACCAGATTATTTTATTTAAACATATGAGCCAGATTTTTTAAGAAAAATGCACCTTGCAACAATACAGTTTTTGTGGTTGCTAATTTCATTTTTTCAACATTCTGAAGCATAATTATATTTATCAATACTTTTCGGGGATAATTTACTTTTTCCATAAAATCCCAGCAGCAACCTAACCGACATCTAACCGTAACCTAACCGTTATCTCTTCCCTCTCAGGGAGACACTCACACATATGAAATATCGAATCAGAAATCTTAAATGAAGTACCCCTTCATCCCCTTGTTCAAACAGCTTCGACAGTGGCAATATGTGCCAACATGCAGGCTAGTTGTTGGAAGTGTGTACTGTAGTTTGTTTCTTGTACACGAGCTCTGTGCAACTGACGTAATTTATTTCCAACTCGACAAGTATTGACTTCCGTCTCTTTGAGTACATGTTGCCGTCTTACACTGTATTTATATGACTGTTCTTTATGCTCGCCTACTGGCTGACTTCCGTTCATGTCTACTCTTTCCGGTTGCTGTTTTCTAGGTCACGAACGTCCCCCAAGACACAACTATGGGGGCACACACACAATTGTGTATACACGTTTTGTTCAGCACGAATCACAAATTGTACCCATGTGGGGAGTGAAACCCGGGTCTTCGGCGTGACGAGCGAACGCTTGAACCACTAAGCTACCCCTCCACCCTACCCCTCCATGGGCGGATACAGAGAGAGAGAGAGAGAGGGGGGGGGGGGGGGGGGGGGGGGGGGGGGGGGGATGCGCGCACCCCCCCTTTTTATTTCGAAAAAAATCTTTATTTCTGTATAAATTACCACCAAAGACAATAAATAGGTCTTAATTGTGCACCCCCCCCCCCCCCCCCCCCCCTTTTCAAAAAAGCTATATCCGCCCATGCCCTCCACCCTACCCCTCCACAAGGATCTATAACAAATATGACAAATTATATACAGTGAACTCAAGTTGGATTGACAACATGTACAAGTACCTTATCACGAATAGCAGCAATCAATAGCGCTCAACAACAACTTAGTGGCACATGTTTTTATATTTACAAAACACCTGAATTCTATTTTTTGCGAAAAATGTCAGCGTCCGATGTTTCTTTGTACTTAATGTCTCTGGCTTTTGTGGATGAAACATAGTTTGACAATGTGTATATTTTATTTTCAGTGTATGACGCAACCATGTTTACATGCAACCCAGTAGGGACATGACAAAAGAACGTGTAATGTGACAACTTGTTATACAAGTGACCAAACAAAGTATATGTGATACAGTTATGTTACTTTGCATGGGGCATAGGTATTATGGACGTACACGTGACACAAGCACGAGACAGGGACGTGACAGATATATACGCGCACGTTATAAAAGTATTTGTCTACGCGCATGCCACAACAACGGGTACGTGGACTTAGCATACTAACAGGCAGAAACCTGCACGTCGTAGACCCGTGGTAGATGTAGGAGACATCATGATGAGAGTATATGCACATGTGTGTCCCAGGGACGTTTAACCATATTCAAGTAGATGGACGATCAATGTAATCTGTTTACGATCTAAGGACAGAAATGACCTCAACATATATGTCCACAATCCCCTTGATGCACGACGGCAGAGTACTCATCCTTGTGCACCATTAATTGTTGTTTGGTCCTGATAGAATAATAATGGAAACAAACAAGAAATACAAACTGTAAATACGTCATACCTGACACTCTTAAAAAAAAGGCATATATACGATCGATAAAATTGATTTATTTAATGTTCAGCTTCTGATCATTTCTGGAGATACCCACAGGCGACCTTTGTTCATTCAGCTGGATTGTAACTCACACATTGTCGTCATGGTGCTTGTTTCAGTTCGACACGGACAAAATCTTATCTGGGCCCAAGTCCCGTCCCTGAGGAACTCTGTGTCCCGACTGGTGGGGATTGAGGGAGACCCTGATGAGTGGGTAGTTAGTGGCAAGGTTAAGATCAGGCACATCAGCGCGCCACATCTTGGATGGGAGTTTTCTGCTCTGGCTTTCGACTACACCACCCAAACCTTGATATGGAGCGAGGCCATGAACAAACGAATACAGAGCCTCGTTCTGAACGGCAGTACCGACACCTCAGACGTCTTCACGGGAACGTCTCCAGAGGTGTACGGCATGGCCGTGGATTGGCAGTCCGGTAACCTGTACTGGACGGACGCCCTGTATAACTGGATCATCATGGCGCCCCTACACGCAAGTGACAAGACCAGAACATACAAAATCATCATACAGACGGGCCTAGATTCCCCACATGGCATAGCCGTACATACAACAAGAGGGTGAGTCGACTTGAGTTCTAACCTGTAATATTCTCAGGTAGTTTACATACTAGTATTGAACGAGGGTGAGGCATGTAGGTTGACTCAACAATAAATAGTTTACCTACAGAAAGAGTCGGGACGGGGTTGCCTCAACACAGGATAGTTCACATATAGAAAGATGGTGAGTTGGGACGGAATTACCTCAACACAGGATAGTTCACATATAGAAAGATGGTGAATTGGGACGGAATTACCTCAACACAGGATAGTTCACATATAGAAAGATGGAGAGTTGGGACGGAATTACCTCAAAACAGGATAGTTCACATATAGAAAGATGGTGAATTGAGACGGAATTACTTCAACACAGAATAGTTCACATATAGAAAGATGGTAAGTTGGGACTGAATTACCTTAACATAGGATAGTCACATATAGAAAGATTATGAGTTGGGACTGAATTACCTTAACACAGGATAGTTCACATATAGAAAGATGGTGAATTGGGACTGAATTACCTCAATACAGGATAGTCACATATAGAAAGATGGTGAGTTGGGACTGAATTACCTCAATACAGGATAGTCACATATAGAAAGATGGTGAGTTGGGACGGAATTACCTCAACACAGGATAGTTCACATATAGAAAGATGCTGAGTTGGGACGGAATTACCTCAACACAGGATAGTTCACATATAGAAAGATGGTGAGTTGGGACTGAATCACCTCAATACAGGATAGTCACATATAGAAAGATGGTGAGTTGGGACTGAATTACCTCAATACAGGACAGTCATATATAGAAAGATGGTGAGTTGGGACCGAATTACCTTAACACAGGATAGTAACATGTAGAAGATGGTGAGTTGGGACGGAATTACCTCAACACAGGATAGTTCACATATAGAAAGATGGTGAGTTGGGACGGAATTACCTCAACACAGGATAGTTCACATATAGAAAGATGGTGAGTTGGGACGGAATTACCGTAACACAGGATAGTTCACATATAGAAAGATGGTGAGTTGGGACGGAAGTACCTCAATACAGGATAGTCACATATAGAAAGATGGTGAGTTGGGACGGAATTACCTCAACACAGGATAGTCACATATAGAAAGATGGTGAGTTGGGACTGAATTACCTTAACACAGGATAGTTCACATATAGAAAGATGGTGAATTGGGATGGAATAACCTGAACACCGGATAGTTCACATATAGAAAGATGGTGAGTTTGGACTGAATTACCTTAACATAGGATAGTCACATGTAGAAGATGGTGAGTCGGGGCGGAATTACCTCAACACAGGATAGTTCACATATAGAAAGATGGTGAGTTGGGACGGAATTATCTCAACACAGGATAGTTCACATATAGAAAGATGGTGAGTTGGGACGGAATTACCGCAACACATGATAGTTCACATATAGAAAGATGGTGATTTGGGACGGAAGTACCTCAACACAGGATAGTTCACATATAGAAAGATGGTGAGTTGAGACTGAATAACCTGAACACCGGATAGTTCACATATAGAAAGATGGTGAGTTTGGACTGAATTACCTTAACATAGGATAGTCACATGTAGAAGATGGTGAGTTGGGACGGAATTACCTCAACACAGGATAGTTCACACATAGAAAGATGGTGAGTTGGGACGGAATTATCTCAACACAGGATAGTTCACATATAGAAAGATGGTGAGTTGGGACGGAATTGCCCCCAACGCAGGATAGTTTACATATGGAAAGAGGGGGACTTTGAAGTCAACAATTTTAAAGAGCTTATTTTTCTCCAATTTCCCATCGTAGTTAATTAAGTACCTATAGCAAATTAAGTAGCCTGTAAATGATGGTACTGTTATTGTGCCTTACTGGTTAAGTAAGGAGACCTCAATCCTTGTACGTAGTTCTTGTAACATGTTATGCCGGGATGTCTTCAGATTACTTATATGGTCGGATTTCGGCGAGCGTCCGCGGATCGAGATGTCCGACCTGCTGGGAGCTGACCGCCACGTGTTGGTTGACCAGAGCCTGGAGCACCCCCGGGGCATCACTCTGGACGGAGACACGTTGTACTGGGTGGACAGTCAGAAGGACACAGTGGAGGCCGTCAACATTGACGGCACTGGACGGCGGATCGTCGTCGTAAATTCAGGGTCCAATTTCTTTGGCATTGCAGCCTATGGGGTATGTTTAAAGTTACTGACACTCTGGAGTTTAAGGTTGTACCGAAAATCCAACTCATGTCACTGGTGCTCCGTATCATTTCAGCAACAACCAATGATAAAAATGACATACTACACTCACTTATTCACTTTAAACATAATTCACAGGGCCACCATTGGCTCAGATTCGACTCGATCCGACCGTCTGTTATTGTTAAGTAGCACGAAATAAGGAGACACATCGTGATATGGTTGAAATAATGTTATCATCGGGGCTACACAACTGACTTTCCTCAACACAATCAGAACGTATTATCGGATGCCTGCTAATAATAGGTGCTTTGTCACCTATTTCACCATGTCATTTGTCTGTCTGGTGATGCTCGCCCACTGCTTATCATTGTTTCTATTGCTGTTTCAGAGCTACCTGTTTGTGACCGAACAAAGTAAAGGCCACCTTAAAATCGTAGACAAGAACGACGGTCAAAATAAAATCAGTTACCGCCTCGGCTACATCCCCTATGACATCATCATGTATACCAACTACACAACAGGGTCATCACGTACGTATATCACATCTACATCACAGTGTCATCACGTAGGTATATCTAATCTACACGACAGGGTATCACGTACGTATATCACATCTGTAAAACAAAGTTTCACGAACGTATGTCACATCTATACAACAGGGTATCACGTACGTATGTCACATCTATACAACAGTGTATCACGCATGTATATTACATCTATACAACAAGGTATCACGTACGTATGTCACATCTATACAACAGTGTATCACGCACGTATATCACATCTATAAAACAATGTTTCACGTACGCATGTCACATCTATACAACAGTGTATCACGTACGTATGTCACATCTATACAACAGTGTATCACGCATGTATATTACATCTATACAACAAGGTATCACGTACGTATGTCACATCTATACAACAAGGTATCACGTACGTATGTCACATCTATACAACAGTGTATCACGCACGTATATCACATCTATACAACAATGTTTCACGTACGCATGTCACATCTATACAACAGGGTATCACGTACGTATATCACATCTATACAACAGTGTATCACGTACGTATGTCACATCTATACAACAGTGTATCACGCATGTATATTACATCTATACAACAAGGTATCACGTACGTATGTCACATCTATACAACAAGGTATCACGTACGTATGTCACATCTATACAACAGTGTATCACGCACGTATATTACATCTATACAACAATGTTTCACGTACGCATGTCACATCTATACAACAGGGTATCACGTACGTATGTCACATCTATACAACAGTGTATCACGTACGTATGTCACATCTATACAACAGTGTATCACGCATGTATATTACATCTATACAACAAGGTATCACGTACGTATGTCACATCTATACAACAAGGTATCACGTACGTATGTCACATCTATACAACAGTGTATCACGCACGTATATCACATCTATAAAACAATGTTTCACGTACGCATGTCACATCTATACAACAGGGCATCACGTACGTATATCACATCTATACAACAATGTTTCACGTACGCATGTCACATCTATACAACAGTGTATCACGTACGTATATCACATCTGTAAAACAATGTTTCACGTACGCATGTCACATCTATACAACAGGGTATCACGTACGTATATCACATCTATACAACAATGTTTCACGTACGTATATCACACCTATAAAACAATGTGTCACGTACGTATATCGCAGCTATGCAACAATGTATCACGTACGTAAATCACTGCTATACAACATTGTTTCACGTACGTACATGTATATCACATCTATACAACCAGGCAACCATGTACTTTCATCACATCTAAACAGCTGCAACGGTACAATTTAGGGCTCTTCATCATGCGTCGACAAATTCCTGACGAGCTGATATCTACAGGAGTAGGAGCTGATTGTGACACTGTAATGTAACTGAGTATATCTATATATGAGTATATCGCAATGACCATTGGTCAACACACGAACATGACAGGATGGGAAAACAATTAACCATGTTTTTATCCTGTGTGCAGATAGGTGCGACACGTTGCAGTGTGACCAGTTCTGCGTGGACATGCCCGACCCCGGCGCCAGATGCATCTGCGGGGAGGGATTCAACATCACCGACGATGATCGCTCTTGTGAATGTGAGCGCCTTTCACTTTTCAAATACAATATCATACCCCAATTCGTGATCATAAATACATGAACACACATACAGTATTCATGATACAAATGGCTGTATGTACTGTTGGTTATTCAACAGAAGCACGGGTGGCCCAATGATCTAAGGCGCTACAATTCGTTGTGCGGAGTTGAGTCCCTCAGCTTTGCCAGGATCCGTTGATATAATGAAATCTTGCTTCGGTTATTATCTCTGGTATGTGAGCACCACGCCGGCGTGGGAAAGGTCGGTGTCACTGACGGCGTTCCTCCCACGTTAGACTAACATGCCGCGATATGGCTGAAATACAGCTCACAGTGATGCTAGATACAACTCACTCACTCACTGCTTCTAAGTACCGGCATCTATCATCTCACATTCTCAACCATCTTAGTGGACTTGACAGTTATGAATTTTATATTGTTCAAAGTTAACATCATTTCACGCCTGATATTGTTGGACGTGATCAAGGTGGACAACAAACGGCTTTTGTCGGCGACGTAACCTTTGCCTCATTCTTATCATTTCTTTCAGTGACGGAGGTGTTCGTTCAGCCCTCTCACATCTACGCTGTGCACGACGCCATCTGTCACTATCCCGCCAACGTGGCCGACATGTCGCTGCTAAACGTCACTCTAGACAAACAGTGCTTCCTGGATAAACGTCATGGATACCTGGCGTTAGCATTCGATGCGAGGGAAAACTTTCTCTATTATTCTGAAAACAATACAAAAACTATCAGCAGGATTAACCTTGAAGTGGGAGCCACAGCGGAGACGATAGCTGGTGGAACTGGGGTTGTATCAGGTGAGCTACAGCGGAGACGATAGTTGATGGAACTGGGGTGGTATCAGGTGAGCTACAGCGGAGACGATAGTTGATGGAACTGGGGTTGTTATCAGGACTCTAGGCCTCTGCCTGGACTGGGTGAGTGGTGTACTGAGTATACAGTATAGTACAGTGGCTGTGTATGCTCTACGCCTCTGTCTGGACTGGGTGAATGATGTACTGAGTATACAGTATAGTACAGTGGTTGTGTATGCTCTAGGAAACTCTGGACTGGGTGAGTGGTGTACGGACTATACAGTATAGTACAGTGGCTGTGTACGCTCTAGGCCTCTGCCTGGACTGGGTGAGTGGTGTACTGAGTATACAGTATAGAACAGTGGCTGTGTATGCTCTAGGCCTCTGTCTGGACTGGGTGAGTGGTGTACTGAGTATACAGTATAGTACAGTGGCTGTGTATGCCCTAGGAAACTCTGGACTGGGTGAGTGGTGTACTGAGTATACAGTATAGTACAGTGGATGTGTATGCTCTAGGAAACTCTGGACTGGGTGAGTTGTGTACTGACTATACAGTATAGTACAGTGGATGTGTATGCTCTAGGCCTCTGCCTGGACTGGGTGAGTGGTGTACTGAGTATACAGTATAGTACAGTGGCTGTGTATGCTCTACGCCTCTGTCTGGACTGGGTGAATGATGTACTGAGTATACAGTATAGTACAGTGGTTGTGTATGCTCTAGGAAACTCTGGACTGGGTGAGTGGTGTACGGACTATACAGTATAGTACAGTGGCTGTGTACGCTCTAGGCCTCTGCCTGGACTGGGTGAGTGGTGTACTGAGTATACAGTATAGAACAGTGGCTGTGTATGCTCTAGGCCTCTGTCTGGACTGGGTGAGTGGTGTACTGAGTATACAGTATAGTACAGTGGCTGTGTATGCCCTAGGAAACTCTGGACTGGGTGAGTGGTGTACTGAGTATACAGTATAGTACAGTGGATGTGTATGCTCTAGGAAACTCTGGACTGGGTGAGTTGTGTACTGACTATACAGTATAGTACAGTGGATGTGTATGCTCTAGGCCTCTGCCTGGACTGGGTGAGTGGTGTACTGAGTATACAGTATAGTACAGTGGCTGTGTATGCTCTAGGAAACTCTGGACTGGGTGAGTGGTGTACTGAGTATACAGTATAGTACAGTGGCTGTGTATGTTCTAGGCCTCTGCCTGGACTGGGTGAGTGGCAACCTCTACTGGACCGACTCTAGCAACCAGCTGATTAAAGTGGCCAGCCGGCACGGCACCTTCCAGAGAGACCTCATCACCACCAACCTTGACAACCCCCTCGGGATCGCTGTACACCCGGGACGCGGGTATGTGATGCTACCCATAACTCTCGCTCTTGTAGATACAGTCGCTTAGTATATGCTGTTATAAAAAACGTAACTCAATTCGAAGAAGCCTCAGAGAACCAGTTTAACCATTTTTCCGAACAATCGATTCCTTACCTTTGCTTGGAAATATAACGTTGCAGAAATAGTGCATGTTGACCATAGAGCCCCTGTGATCATGTTCCAGTCGCCTGTACTTCACGGACCCCGGAGATACGCCCAAAGTGGAAACAGCCTACACTGACGGCAGCGACAGGCGGGCCATTCTCGACCACGACCTCGGCTCCCCCAACCACCTCTACATTGACTACACCAATGACATGTCAGTACTGCTGGCCACATCGTATGGAACACGGAGTAACACATCAGCAGAATAGGAAACAGATATAAGACAGACACGTATAAGAGGAAAAATATAACATTTGAAATATAAGCAACATTTGTCCCCGAATGTTAAGCAATGTTCTTTATTAAATCTGGCTTTTATACCTTTCTTCACCTGGCTGTAAAATACCTTTGGGTCTCTGACGAGCAAGGACAGTACTATTTGTTGATCGACAATAAACATAAGGTCGAGTGGGGATCCGAGACAAAGGTGCTCTAATCTGGTGCTACCCTTGCGTTGCAGCATGTACTGGAGCGACTCAATCAAGAACCATGTGAGGAGCTACAATCTCAAGACAGAGCGGCTGACCATCATCTTCAACCTGGACAACAGCGGCTTCTACGGCATCAGCATCTTCCAGGTGACAAGCACATCTCGCACAGACACACCCGATAACTCACATCTCACACATACATACACGACAACTCAACCCCTCACAGATACACCCGACAACTCACACAGACACACCCGACAACTCACACAGACACACCCGACAACTCACACAGACACACCCGGCAACTCACATACCACACAGACACACCTTATAACTCACATCTCACACACACGCAGACAAGCCCATCTCACACAAACAAAAGTGACAACCACATACCACACAGACACACCGGACAACTCACACAGACACACCCGACAACTCACATACCACACAGACAAACCTAATAACTCACATCCCACACAGACACAGACTGTGAAGATCCGGGCGGGAAGGTCTTCAGCAACCTATGTTTGCCGTAAGAGGAGACTATATTTGTCGTGAGAGGCGACTAACGGGAGGGGCTGGTAATCCTCGCTGGTTTGGTTGATGCATGTCAGCGTATCCAAATTGAGTAGATCGATGCTCATGATGTAAATCAATGGATTGTTTGGTCCAGACTCGGTTATTTACAGACCGCTGTATATTATTGCTGAGTGCGGCGTTAAATAACAAACTAACACACAGACACGAGTGACAACCACATCTCACACAGACACAAGTGATAACCACATCTCACACAGACACAATGACAACCTAATCTCACACAGACACAAGTGATAACCACATCTCACACAGACACAAAGGATAACCACATCTCATACAGACACAAGTGACAACCACATCTCACACAGACACAAGTGATAACCACATCTCTCACAGACACAATCACAACCTCATCTCACACAGACACAAGTGATAACCACATCTCACACAGACACAAGTGATAACCACATCTCACACAGACACAAGTGACAACCACATCTCACACAGACACAAGTGATAACCACATCTCACACAGACACAAGTGATAACCACATCTCTCACAGACACAAGTGATAACTACATCTCACACAGACACAAATGATAACCACATCTCACACAGACACAAGTGATAACTACATCTCACACAGACACAAGTGATAACCACATCTCACACAGACACAAGTGACAACCACATCTCACACAGACACAAGTGATAACCTCATCTCACACAGACACAAGTGATAACCACATCTCACACAGACACAAGTGATAACCACATCTCACACAGACACAAGTGATAACTACATCTCACACAGACACAAGTGATAACCACATCTCACACAGACACAAGTGACAACCACATCTCTCACAGACACAAGTGATAACTACATCTCACACAGACACAAGTGATAACCACATCTCTCACAGACACAAGTGATAACTACATCTCACACAGACACAAGTGATAACTACATCTCAAAAAGACACAAATGATAACCACATCTCACACAGACACAAGTGATAACTACATCTCAAAAAGACACAAATGATAACCACATCTCACACAGACACAAGTGATAACTACATCTCACACAGACACAAGTGATAACTACATCTCAAAAAGACACAAATGATAACCACATCTCACACAGACACAAGTGATAACTACATCTCACACAGACACAAGTGATAACTACATCTCAAACAGACACAAATGATAACCACATCTCACACAGACACAAGTGATAACTACATCTCACACAGACACAAGTGATAACTACATCTCACACAGACACAAGTGACAACCACATCTCACACATGCACAAGTGATAACCACATCTCACACAGACACAAGTGACAACCACATCTCACACATGCACAAGTGATAACCACATCTCACACAGACACAATGACAACCTCATCTCACACAGACACAAGTGATAACCACATCTCACACAGACACAAGTGACAACCACATCTCACACATGCACAAGTGATAACCACATCTCACACAGACACAATGACAACCTCATCTCACACAGACACAAGTGATAACCACATCTCACACAGACACAAGTGACAACCACATCTCACACAGACACAAAGGATAACTACATCTCACACAGACACAAGTGATAACCACATCTCTCACAGACACACGTCTGACACAGGAACACAGGGCTACCTACCACACGTCTGACACAGGCACACAGGGCTACCTACAACACGTCTGACACAGGCACACAGGGATACCTACCACATGTCTGACACAGACACACAGGGCTACCTACTACACGTCTGACACAGACACACAGGGCTACCTACCACACGTCTGACACAGGCACACAGGGCTACCTACCACATGTCTGACACAGACACACAGGGCTACCTACCACATGTCTGACACAGGCACACAGGGCTACCTACCACACGTCTGACACAGGCACACAGGGCTACCTACAACACGTCTGACACAGGCACACAGGGATACCTACCACACGTCTGACACAGGCACACAGGGCTACCTACTACACGTCTGACACAGGCACACAGGGATACCTACCACACGTCTGACATAGACAACTCTAGAGACTGTTACACGAGGAACTGCAGTGTTCTCAATGACACGTGTCGGCCGTAAATATATAATCAAAAGATCATTTTGAATTTAATTACGAAACTGATTAACGATATGAGAGACACCTGACCAGTCCAGTGACATCCTGCCAGCTTGTTGTCCGGTGACGGTATCGTGCATCATTCAAACCACAAACCTTCTACCTGCTGTCCATGGATTGATCAGTGAACGTTTGTTTATGCGCCTCTTCAGGACATCATCTTGTGGACCGACAGGAACGACATGAACGGTATCCACATGGCCAGACTCGACAAGGAGGAGAAGATCCGCGGCATCCTACACCCCCATTACGGCATCGCTCAAGACCTCGTCACCTTCGACATTCACAACCAGCCTCCCTATAACAGTAAGCGGTCTTTCTCTGGCACCCATCTATTGTCTCGTTCCAGATGCTGTAACACGAGCCACGTGTGAAACTGAGGCATTGTCTCTGTTATCAGGGTCATCAGTAACTGTTTTATGAACAACATCAAACTTGACTTTTCAATAAAATAAACATGGTACTTGGTCAATTTGATTGAAACTTGCTGGTTCTGCCAATTTTCCTAATATGAATCTGTAACAAGAAACAGAAGCGGTTCAGAAGAAGGATCTCTAGCTAAGATAGACACAATGCTATTAGACAGCGGTTGTGTTAGGATAGTTATATTAACGTGTGATATAATCTATTGTGGGGTTAAGACATTCTGTGACTCATTATAGAGAAAATAAGCAAAGGACTCTAACCTTCCCTGTTGCAGGCAGCTGTCGGGAGGGTGCCAACCCGTGCAGCCAGCTGTGTCTGAGTGGGGCTGAAGACGCGACCTGGTGCACGTGCGGTCTGGGATATCACCTGGCAGAGGATGACGTCACCTGCATATCAAGTAATGCAAAAGATTTTCCTTCAAAGGAATAATAGTTAAACATTCCAAATAAAGAGCTGTTCATGTAAAGCAGAACGGAAAGTTTGAACGCATTTTTATTGAGATACCCATGTTAATACCCAGGACAATGAGGTGTTAACCCTGCCTCACTAAGTCTGCTTATTTATTTTAGTTCTAGCGATATCAGATTAAGATTGAACATAAACTATGTATCACATTTGCAAGAATATTTCGAAATCTCTATCATGTTGCCTGTTATTCTGACATTAAAGAGAAGCTCAAGTATCATTCTAATGTTGCCATGGTGTTCTAACATCCCTGCCGTGTAACGACATGGAAAGCCAGTGATATCAAAACAAATCCTAAATGCTACATTATGTCCAACAACCCTCCAAACACCTTGACACAATAGCCTGATGTGTGAAATAATGACATTTCCTAGAAACTGTGTGTCATGACATCCCGACACATAAGCTGCATGTCACAACAGCATCACATGTCATGGAAGATTGATGTCATGACATCCTCACGTCATGCAATGATGTCCTCCCATGACCTCGAAACGATTGGTCATGAAATCATCACATGATCTAGAAACTGTGTCATGAAATCATCACATGATCTAGAAACTGTGTCATGAAATCATCACATGATCTAGAAACTGTGTCATGAAATCATCACATGATCTAGAAACTGTGTCATGAAATCATCACATGATCTAGAAACTGTGTCATGAAATCATCACATGATCTAGAAACTGTGTCATGAAATCATCACATGATCTAGAAACTGTGTCATGAAATCATCACATGATCTAGAAACTGTGTCATGAAATCCTCACATGATCTAGAAACTGTGTCATGAAATCCTCACATATCGTAAAAGCTGCATGACAACATGTCATGTCCTACAAGCTCTGTCATGACATTCCGACTTGTCCTTCTATATGTTGTCACGACATCTCCACATTTCTAGAAGCTGCATATCATGACATCCCGACATGTTCACGAGGCCTCATGTCATAAGAAACCAACATGTCCTAGAATCTGTCATGTTTCCTAGGTATATCAGAGAACAACTTCCTATTGGTGACCGACGCCTACCAGAGACAGGTTTTCCAGGTGAGCTCCAGCAACGGGGTGGTCCACGCCATTCGCCATTCCACCAGGCACTCGCCCATCGCCATTGGCTTCGACCCCATCAAGATGCGCCTGTACTGGTCTGACAACACAGTCCGCATCATCAAGGGATCCAACCTGGACGGAGACTTCGCCGAGATCGTCGTTGGGATGGATGAAGGTAGGGTGATGACGAAAATACATCTGACATCTGGGCAGACCACCCAGAGTTTGACTATACATATCCTCTCCGGTTCTAGAAACTGCCGCAGTATAAATTACTGTTATCACCGCCATGACATCATGTTTGGTATACAGTGTACCTCGTTTGATTTAAACTTGTTCTCAAGGGTTATAATTGAATTGAATTTGTTTCAAATTTAGTAAAATACGTACAATTTAGGAATTGGCATAGGGTTCCAACTTCGGAGGAGTTTTCAGTATCTAAATAATAACAATATTATATAAATAAAAACATAACCGCAGTTACTTGTTGGAATACCGTATCGTCAACACAGACGTATCTTTCTGACCGCTGACGACGTGTTGCAGGTGCGGTGGTGGACGGCCTGGCTGTAGACCACATAAATAAACTTCTATACTTCACCGATGCCGGACATGACCTGATCGGAGTTGTCTCCCTTACCAACTACACACACCGCAAAATTCTAATAACTGAGGCTGTGGACGAGCCGAGGGCAATTGCTTTGCTTCCTCTGGAGGGGTCAGTACCTACAGTTCCACTTCAACTTCTGTTTTTGTTTTTGTTTTTTGTTTTTCCTTTGAAGTGTTCAGCTAACAGAAAAAAACAACAACATTGGAGTACCAGATCTTACTCCAATTATATTGATTTATGCCAATTCTTAAAAATAAATAAAATAATACCGTGACGAGATTTGACCAAAATCTAGCGTTCCCGCGATCTCGCATTCTCTAGTTTTTGGTACATAGCACTTTTTGTCAAAAGTCGACAATGCGAGATCGCGAGAACGCGAGAACGCGAGATTTTGGTCATTTGGACATGATGTTAAATCTCGCAATCTCGACTTGTCAAATTAGGCCACAAAAACACGAAATCGCGGGAACGCGAGAATGCGACATTTCATTTTCTCGCGATCTCGTGACCAAAGTCCCCAAGGGTTTCTGTCCTACACCCGTCTGGGGATACCCAATGTCGATGGCTTGACCATTACCCTTCTACTTGCAGGACATTCTACTGGACAGATTGGGGTAAAGAGCCCCGGATTGAGCGGGCATCCATGGATGGGTCAGACCGCACCAAGTTTGTCATACTGGACAAGAACTCCTGGCCGAATGGTCTCGCAGTGGACGGAAAGAGTAGGTCCTAAGGATCAACATTTACATAGATTGAACTTGTAAACCTCATTTTCCTTGAAGGGGACGTTGTCGAATGGAGTACTTCTTTAGGAACCTATCTTTATGAATACTGAAATATACCCTGACCTAAAACGGACACACGTACCCCAGATAGGCAACGAACGGTACATGGAGCAGAACGCGACTACAGCACAAGGCACGACATCAGATCCTTTGCAGACTTGTTGTCTAGTCTTCCTGACAGGTTTCGCTCAATGATAAAATGGACCCGACCAGTCGTGTTAAGAATACATTGCCAAGGTATGGCACTTTCGAGTATTCCGGTTCAGGTTCGGTTACATTATGGATGAAGTTACCTTAGGGACATATCTGCTGTATTCCATACAACACGGATCCATTAAGTGAGTGAGTGAGTTAAAATTTTGCATCGCGTCGGCAGTATTGCAGCCATATTGCGATGAAAACAAGTGAATTATCATGAAATACCTGTCGACTAAGAAAAGTGAAACAGTAAGGCAAGTGTCCCTGTTAAAGTATAAAACAAACCAGACTAATAAGGAAACTCTCAGTATGATCACGTATGGTATAGAGATAAGTTTATGTATGATACAAAAGACTTTCTGACACAAATTCCAGCTCCACTATTTACAACTGAGATGAATCTTCTGATGGACACTGCTTAACTTTGCAATAGGTCGACGCCTGTTTTGGGTGGACGCACAGTATAACACAGTGTCCATGATCTTCCTGAATGGCACCGGACAACGCGTTATGCTTAAAGAGGACGTGGCACACTATTTTGGAATCGCCATCATGGGCGACTACCTTTACCTCACAGACTGGAAGAAAACGTGAGTAGTCTTCCCTGTCATTGACCAACTTGCAGTGCTGTACTTCACGATCTAGTGACTATTTAATTCTATTTCCAGTTGTCCTATCTAATAGTTAGCGAACTAATTACAACTGTTTACTAACAACTGTGAACTTACAGTTACATATCCCGGATGCACAAGGACGGCGGTGCCTTGGAGGAGTTTGGCACAGATTCCTTCACCAAACTGTACGGCATCTATGGCTTCAACAGGACGGAGGTTGTCCTAGGTGAGACTCCTGGCAACATGCCAACTTTCAAACTTTAAGTGGTTAGCGAGAGGTTACAATGTGTGTACTGTGGTGGTTTGCGAGAGGTTACTATGTGTGTACTGTGGTGGTTAGCGAGAGGTTACTATATGTGTACTGTGGTGGTTAGCGTGAGGTTACTATGTGTGTACTGTGGTGGTTTGCGAGAGGTTACTATGTGTGAACTGTGGTGGTTAGCGAGAGGGTGCTATGTGTGCACTGTGGTGGTTAGCGAGAGGTTACTATGTGTGTACTGTGGTGGTTAGCGAGAGGTTACTATGTGTGTACTGTGGTGGTTTGCGAGAGGTTACTATGTGTGTACTGTGGTGGTTAGCGAGAGGTTACTATGTGTGTACTGTGGTGGTTGGCGAGAGGTTACCATGTGTGTACTGTGGTGGTTAGCGAGAGGTTACTATGTGTGTACTGTGGTGGTTTGCGAGAGGTTACTATGTGTGTACTGTGGTGGTTAGCGAGAGGTTACTACGTGTGTACTGTGGTGGTTAGCGAGAGGTTACTATGTGTGTACTGTGGTGGTTAGCGAGAGGTTACTATGTGTGTACTGTGGTGGTTAGCGAGAGGTTACTACGTGTGTACTGTGGTGGTTAGCGAGAGGTTACTATGTGTGTACTGTGGTGGTTTGCGAGAGGTTACTACGTGTGTACTGTGGTGGTTAGCGAGAGGTTACTATGTGTGTACTGTGGTGGTTAGCGAGAGGTTACTATGTGTGTACTGTGGTGGTTAGCGTGAGGTTACTATGTGTGTACTGTGGTGGTTTGCGAGAGGTTACTATGTGTGAACTGTGGTGGTTAGCGAGAGGGTGCTATGTGTGCACTGTGGTGGTTAGCGAGAGGTTACTATATGTGTACTGTGGTGGTTTGCGAGAGGTTACTATGTGTGTACTGTGGTGGTTAGCGAGAGGTTACTATGTGTGTTCAGTGGTGGTTTGCGAGAGGTTACTATGTGTGTACTGTGGTGGTTAGCGAGAGGTTACTATGTGTGTACTGTGGTGGTTGGCGAGAGGTTACCATGTGTGTACTGTGGTGGTTAGCGAGAGGTTACTATGTGTGTACTGTGGTGGTTTGCGAGAGGTTACTATGTGTGTACTGTGGTGGTTAGCGAGAGGTTACTATGTGTGTACTGTGGTGGTTTGCGAGAGGTTACTATGTGTGTACTGTGGTGGTTAGCGAGAGGTTACTATGTGTGTACTGTGGTGGTTAGCGAGAGGTTACTATGTGTGTACTGTGGTGGTTAGCGAGGGGTTACTATGTGTGTACTGTGGTGGTTTGCGAGAGGTTACTATGTGTGTACTGTGGTGGTTAGCGAGAGGTTACTATGTGTGTACTGTGGTGGTTAGCGAGAGGTTACTATGTGTGTACTGTGGTGGTTAGCGAGAGGTTACTATGTGTGTACTGTGGTGGTTAGCGAGAGGTTACTATGTGTGTACTGTGGTGGTTAGCGTGAGGTTACTATGTGTGTACTGTGGTGGTTAGCGAGAGGTTACTATGTGTGTACTGTGGTGGTTAGCGAGGGGTTACTATGTGTGTACTGTGGTGGTTTGCGAGAGGTTACTATGTGTGTACTGTGGTGGTTAGCGAGGGGTTACTATGTGTGTACTGTGGTGGTTAGCGAGAGGTTACTACGTGTGTACTGTGGTGGTTAGCGAGAGGTTACTATGTGTGAATTGTGGTCGTTGGCGAGATGTAACAATGTATATACTCAAACGCAAAGGAAACGCAAGTAAAGTCATGTCAAAAAATGCACAAAATAGTAATTTATGAAAGGAAATGTATACAAACATAAAGAGACGCTTTGAAGAAGCACAAGTTACTATTTACATTATTCATTTGAGCACGTCGCAGGAAATCACATGCAAAACTGCGTGCATTTCTCCCTCTGGCCATCCTTTATCATGAATATCCAATGAATATGTATCACTTTCCAATCTGTACAGCATGACGTAAATGGCCGCTAGATCTAGCTACTAGATGACTATAAAGACGTTATTGTGTGTATTCATGACAGGCAACAGTGTGTGTGTCTTCAAAGAGTGCCAGCAGCTGTGTCTGCCCCGCCCACATAACATGTTCACGTGTGCCTGCATGGAAGGCTTTCGTCGTAATGATGATCGGAGGACCTGCATTCGAGGTAATATCAGTGTGACTTTATTATTCACATTATCATGTAAAAAACACACTATAAGCACAACACCCTAAGGGGTATTAGTGAAAATAATATTATTGTATTGTATTTTTCATTTCTCAAAAATCCAACTTTTGGTTTAACTTTTCGCGAACACCTGGTATCATCACTATTTGATAGTGATTCCTAAACACATAGAATACTCATGATATAGTCGGAGTCGTAAATCGATGAATATGGCAAGGGTTTTGTAACTTTTATTTATTATTATAATATGATATAATTTTGGCTTATTTTAGATACCTCGAGCTGCACATTGTTAACATGTATGTTATATTCTCCCTCTGCACAGAAACGACACCAGCACCTACTACAACACGACTCACGACCACACCGACAACTTCGCCAAACGCCGTCACAACTACAACTACAGTTAGAACTTCATCGTCCATACACACAACGTTGATGTCTTCGCCATCTTCTGTGACGAGTTTATCATCATCGCCAACATCCAAATCTCCAGTAACAAGTGTAATACCAACGGCGTCTCCAGGTCTCTCGAAATCAACCCACACGACATCTACATCACCGAGCTCTAGCACAGGTACTTTAGCACGCGATGAATTTGCTGTATCGCTTAGGATTACATATGTTGAAGTCGAGGTCCTCTCGTGGACACTGATATCTTCACGACGAAGTGTGATGGACCGCGCACAACATGCCACAGATTTAAACATGAGATCATAAGTGTCTCAGGTATGGTGGCCGAGAGGGGACATCGCTTTTTCGCTTTCTCGCACTATCGCTTTCTCGCTCTATCGCTTTATCGCTTTCTCGCTTTATCGCTTTATCGCTTTCTCGCGGTAAACTATATCCCCTCTCGGCCACTGCAGGAGCCGCATGTGTTATCTGTTTCAATTGGGAGGGAATGTTGAACTTTTCTCACAATTTACGTAAAACATAATTTAACTGTTCAGCCGTATGTGATTTTAAAACAATCCACAGATTTCGGCGTAAAATGTAATTGATTGATTTATGGCCCTATTTAGTTTTATGTGACCATCACGCATGGCGGATCATGGCCATACGCTCTAAATAAATCAGGTTAAAATATAAATATAATCTTTTCAAAAGAAGTTAAGAAGACTACGGTTAATTAGTCATGGCTGATTGTATTGCAAAATACAATCTTATAATTGTGGGTGTTCTATAACTTGTTTTCAGTAGTATATGATGTTACAGTGTGTCATACTGTTGTCCGTAAATATTCTTTTGGAAATTTGATTTCTATTGTATTGTATTGTATTTCAACTTGTATTGTGTCTCTTGTCTTGTGCAAATATACAAGTATATGTACTTGCATATAGTAATTTGATAAACACCGCTGTGAGGGAGTGAGAATAGTCTTACGTCGCTTTTAACATTAATTCAGCAATATCACGGCGGGGGACACCAGAAATGGGGTTCACACATTGTACCCATGTGGGGAATGGAACTGGGTCTTCGGCGTGACGAGTAAACGCTCTAACCACTAGGTTACCCCACTGCCTCCATCGCTGTGGCGTTACCACAGTTGATATGTGTACTTGTATAGTTGTATGTATAGTTTTGTTAAAATTATGTATGTATGTATGTGTGTGTGTGTGTGTGTGTGTGTGTGTGTGTGTGTGTGTGTGTGTGTGTGTGTGACTCATTGTCTGTGTATATATGTGGTAAGATAGAAAAGAAACGCACAGGAAGTATGTAGTTCATTGAACCTGACTACACAAAATATCCAGTATATAAATTGGATATATGTTATTGGAAAATGTTGGTGGCCTGGTATTCGACAAACGGTACGTCAAAACGCAGCCATTGTCGATTTGCAAAAATGTCATGGAGGAAAACAGTAAAGCAAAATGCACGTGCAAGTTATAGCATTCGTAACTCGTGATAGTGGCTTTAAAAAGGCAAGCATAAGCCAATAACTTTTCATTTAATTGTCAACATATTTCAAGTTCGCAAATGCCGTGACTCAGCTCTGCCGATCGGAACATCGCCATAGGACGTATCAAAAGAGGGGAATCGCAGTTTTCTGTTGCACGCCACTTCAACGTCCACCACAGCACCATTTGCCGCCTTTGTGACCGATACACAGAGTTCAATTCCACTGCAGAGCGTCCGAGAACCGGCCGACCAAGAGTTACCACCCCTGCACAGGATCACTACATTCGACTGTTCCACCCACGTCATCGCAATGGCACAGCTATGGAGACTACAGGACGCATCCCTGGTTTGAGGTGGATATCGGACCAGAGTGTCAGGAACCATCTTCGCGAGGCTGGAATCCGACCAAGAAGACCAGTTATCGTCCCTGTATTGCAACAGATCCATCGACAACGACGCTTGCGTTGGTGCCATACCTTTCACCCTTGGAATGTGAAAAACTGGAGACGAGTGTGGTTTAGCGATGAATCACGATTTCTTCTACACCGGCGAGATGAAAGACAAAGTGTTTATCGTCGTCGAAATGAGCGTTTTGCCCCACAATGTGTACGTGAATTCGACAATTTCGGTGGCGGTAGTGTCATGGTTTAGTGGGCCATATCCTACACCACGAGATCTGACTTGGTTGTGTTTCAGAGAAATTTGACAGCAAATCGCTACCTTCTTCCAATCATTGACCGCCAGAGGGAGCTGTTTGAACAGGACAACACTCCACCGCACACAGCTTGTGTCACGGTAGACTACCTTCATAATGCCAACATCAATGACTTGCCCTGGCCATCGAGATCTCCATATCTCAACCCAATGGAATACCTCTGGGTTGAACTCGATCGACGTGTACGTCAACGTCAGAACACGCCGCAGACACTCCCAAATTTGGCCAACGCGTTACAAGCAGAATGGCGCTGAATTTCGCAGGACAGAATTCGTACGCTTATCCAGTCAGTGCCAAGGAGAAGCAGATTCGTGATTGCTTCCCGGGGCGCTCACACGAGATACTGAGTTCAGCGCTACCTTGTGGCCTTATGTGACATTACAATGAACAGTTTTCAAAGTCTTCGTACAACGACAACATGTGACTATCGAGCTCCTGTCTACCTGTGCGTTTCTTTTTTTGGAGAGTGTATTCTATAATCGGATGTCTAGTCTCCCCGTGTAGGAAAGTTAAACTCTATTTTACAAGCACTTTAGCATTAAATTTAATTCCCGAAGACGGTTTTGTCGAAAGGACTTATAAGAAACGAGTCGGTTTTTTAAATAATATTTACAACGCATTTCATTTCTATTGTCCGATGAATGAGGTTACGGGTTGATGACGCTCTCAAAAGTCGTATATGTGACTTAAGGTAGAGACACATATCTTATCGATCTGTATTTTGTAAGGGAACCATAACTTTGTTCATGTAAAACGTTTGTCTGCATTATGTACATGTATCTTTATCTATATGAAATTAATTGTTTGTTCCAGTTCAATTTATCCTTTAAAGTTTCAGCTTAAGATTGATGGAAGAATGGGGTGGTATTATGAACAAAATGAATATCGACTATTCTGTTGTAGTCTGTGAATCTTGCTATTTACTTCACAACAAGAAAATAAACATATGCGTGTATACAAACTAAACGAGATAGCATTATATATGTAAGTGAGTTTTTAAAAATCTAATTATAAGAGGCAAAATAGCGGTGAGAATTATAGGAATGGGTCACTGAATATCAGCAAAAACCCTTTTAATGTACGGCATTATGGGAAATATCGCTTTCTCGGTCTAATGCTTTCTCGCTTTCTCTCATGGCTAACCATAGTCATATGAAAGGATCGGGTGTTCTTTAACTTCTTTTGAATAGTATACTCAACAACAAAAGTTCCTGTGACACCAATATTTTAGTTTATTTTTTTCAAACAAGTAAAGTTGTTTTTCAATATTGTAGTACATGTATGGAATCAAGTCACAAAAACGCAACTGCTACAGAAAAGCATGCATTCCATACAAAAGTTGACTTCTATACAAGCCCCATGCATTTCACTACCCAAGAATGGATATAAAACATGTGCGTTAACGGGATTCCATATGCATTGTTTAGCATCGTGCTGACAACAACCACTCAGAAAAACAACAAAATTAGCAAGTATTCAACATTACGAAATGCCACGCCTGTCCGAAAATGAGCGTCTGCGAGCCATTGGTATGCTTGAAGCAGCATCGAGTCAACGTGATGTTGCAAGACAATTTAACGTCCACAGAAACACCATTTGGTGTTCATGCTAACGTTGGCAACAGACGAATGCAGTCAGAGACCATCCTCGGAGTGGCAGGCCACGCGTAACCAATAAGACAAGACAACTGGATTCGAACAACACACCTACGAAATCGATTCCAGCCAGCAACAGTGACTGCAAGAAGCATCCCTGGCCCTCGACGAATATCTTCACAAACCGTACCTCGCCGCCTCAGATGTGCAGGGATTGTCGCCAAAAGAACCGCCAGACGTCCCATTTTGACAGGAAACCACCGTCAAGCACGTCTACAGTGGTGCAGACACCGTCTACGCTTGACGGCCATGCAATGGGGACAAGTTCTATTCACTGATGAGTCTCGTTTTCACCTCAGCCACAGCGATGGACGGATTCGAGTGTACCGACGTCGAGGTGAACGTTACGTCAATCATTGTGTCATGGAAGAAGATCGGTTTGGGGGCGGCAGTGTTATGGTATGGGGTGGGATTACAGCAAGACAGAGGACCTGTTTGATAGTGGTAGAGGGAAATATCAATGGACAGCGCTACCATGACGAGATCATCAGCCCTGTTGTTCTACCGTTTCTGCGTAGTCATGGCCCAGGCATTACCTTTCAACATGACAACGCCCCGCCTCATATTGCTCGACTTGTTCAGAATTCTCTTCAACAAAAGAACGTGAATGTCATCCCCTGGCCGGCTCGCTCCCCTGATCTCTCACCAATCGAGCACATGTGGGATGAGATGGATCGGCGCCTTCGACGTCAACCACGTGTTCCACAGACACTCCAGGAACTTCGAAACATGCTCCAGCAGATATGGACAGATATCCCACTGGACATTGTGCGACGTCTGGTCCATTCCATGAGACGAAGATGTGTTGCTTACATCGCAACCAGAGGTGGACACACACGCTATTGATTTGTAAATTGCCATTTTGGCATGTTTATGTGTGTTGTTTTTTTTAGTTTCTAGGTTTGTCAGCACCATACCCGTGCTCGTGGGTTTCATCGAAGTGGTAAACGTCTGAGACCTGTATCACTTCGGGCTTTCCTCCCACATTAAGCTGACACGCCGTGATATAACTGGAATAATGTTAAAAGCGGCGTTAAACCCAACTCACTCACTCACTCACTCATGTTTTTTTTTTAATGAAATCACGCATTTTCTGAAGTCAGTATGGCAAATTAAACCATTTGAACACGGACGGAGTCTTTTATCTGTTGCAAACCGAAATTATTTCAGATTTGGTAAAAAACCCAAACTTTGCATTAAATCTTATTCAATGTCACAGGACGCCGTGATATAACTGGAATACTGTTAAAAGCAGCGTTAAACCCATCTCACTCACCCCAATGTCACAGGAACTTTTGTTGTTCAGTATTTGTACTGTCAATCTTGAAATTAACTTTAGAATCAATTATAAATGCAAAAAATGAGAGTTGACTTAATTAAATAAACTTGCATTTTTGTCTCAGAAATTACTGTTAATAAGACAGCCTAAATTCAGACTTTGAATAGCGGAAATACCAACTTGAATGTAAAACCAAACAACCATCTATTTCCACATACGGTTACTGAGAACAATATGTCATGCAAACAATAGAAATTACATAATTGACATCAGGTAGTGTTACCATTGCTGGGGTGAGGACTTGCAATTTGATCCCATCAACTCCGCTAACAGAATAAACATTGATATTGATATGAAGTGTTGTTTTGAGGAAGTACACTACTCAGTGCTAATACGCGGTGTTATTTGCTGTTTGGTTTGATTCCTGGGCCTGGGGGCGGGGGATCGCATAACACTCCTAAGTAGGGCAATACATAAATCAATTACTATTTACGCAGAAATCCGTGGATTGTTATAAAATCATCTGCGTCTGTACAGTTAAGTTATGTTAAGTAGATAGTGAGAAAATTTTAACATACCCTCCATATGTATAATTTGAAATGTAATCTCTGAGGTCAGGTTTAACAATTCATTAATGTTGTTTTATATACTTTTTATCGTATAGAAACACATAACACATGCGAGAGGGAATATTGCTATACCGCGAGAAAGCGAGAATGCGAGAAAGCGATGTACCCTCTCGGCCACCATACTCACGCCCTCTGAGACTGCCTCTGTTGTCTAGTTGTAGAGCGTCCGCCCGGAGAGCGGAGTGCCCGGGGTTCGAACTGCGGCAGCGTCATGCCCCAAAACGTTAAAAGCTGGTACTTGTTGTAACCCTGCCTGCCGCTCTGCATTTGAGGGCTAAAACAAGGGCTTGTCGGCTCGGAGTCAGTGTCTGAGTGGGGTATTCATGTTAAACTGCGGGATGGTATCTTAGTTCAGACTGGTACAAGCAGCCACATACACTCAGACACGTTAAACCCCATTTCACCACACCTCAGACTCTCTAAAATAATATTGAAAGTATTACAATTCTTAAAAAATCAGTTGGCAAATATATGCAAAAGTGTATCACACCTCCACATGTATCCTCGTCTTCGTTAAAGCAGTTCCCTGTATATATTTCAGTGACACCCACGAGTGAGTACCCCACCACGGAGTTTGAGGTTCATGTGGTAGCCCCAGTGAAAACCAGTAAGTCAACATCCATTACCATGTCCTATGTCAGTAGCCACCTTGGCATCCAATAAGTCAACCCCCAATACCTATACATATGTCCAACGTCACAAGTCACCACGGCAACTAGTTGTAAACCTGTCCTTGGTATCTAGTCACCATGGCAACTAGTACATCCACACTCTCTACCAGTAAGCATGTCCTTTTTCTGTAGTCACCATGGCAACTAAAACATTTAACACGTCCTTGGTCCCAATGGCATCCGATACTTCAACTCTGTATACATGTATACATGTCCTTGGTCACAAGTCACTATAGCGTCCAATACTTCAACTCATTATACCTGTATACATGTCCTTGGTCACAAGTCACTATGGCGTCCAATACTTCAACTCATTTTACCTGTATACATGTCCTTGGTCACAAGTCACTATGGCGTCCAATACTTCAACTCATTTTACCTGTATATATGTCCTTGGTCACAAGTCACTATGGCGTCCAATACGCCAACTCATTATACCTGTATACATGTCCTTGGTCACAAGTCACTATGGCGTCCAATACGCCAACTCATTATACCTGTATATATGTCCTTGGTCACAAGTCACTATGGCGTCCAATACGCCAACTTATTATACCTGTATACATGTCCTTGGTCACAAGTCACTATGGCGTCCAATACTCCAACTCATTTTACCTGTATATATGTCCTTGGTCACAAGTCACTATGGCGTCCAATACGCCAACTCATTATACCTGTATACATGTCCTTGGTCACAAGTCACTATGGCGTCCAATACGCCAACTCATTATACCTGTATATATGCCCTTGGTCACAAGTCACTATGGCGTCCAATACGCCAACTTATTATACCTGTATACATGTCCTTGGTCCACGAGTAACCTTAGCATCACGGCAACTGTTTGCAGCTTCGTCGAGGTTATCCCCTGGAACGGTGGCTGCTGTTGTCATCGTGGTGCTCCTGGCCAGCGTCATAGCACTGGTGGTTGCTGTCATCATGTATCGAAAGTAAGTTGAAACAACTAGTCAGACCAGTGCGTATATATTGTATTCAAAATTATTCATTTATACAGTAAGGCAGTGACGACTATTGTCACAATACGTGCTGAAACTATACGTTCAAACAGTAAGGCAGAAGTATATATTTTCATCTAAATGCTGAAACTATACGTTCATACCGTAAGGCAGAAGTATATATTTTCATCTAAATGCTGAAATTATACGTTCATACAGTAAGGCAGAAGTATATGTTGTCATCTAAATGCTGAAACTATACATTCATACAGTAAGGCAGAAGTATATATTGTCATCTAAATGCTGAAACTATACGTTCATACAGTAAGGCAGAAGTATATATTGTCATGCTGAAACTATACTATAACTAACTATACGTAAGGCAGAAGTATATATTTTCATCTAAATGCTGAAACTATACGCTTATACTGTAAGGCAGAAGTATATTATGTAAGTGACCTTTCCTTACACCTCCCCAAACTAACGTGCTGCCCCCTGCTGTCGACAGACACCGCCAGTACAAGATCCCCCACGGCAAGCTACTGGAAGACGACCCGAAGCGTGTGGACACCTTCTACCGCATCACCTTCCCCGACAACAACAAAGACGAACCGGTCATGATGGATAACGGCATAGAGAATCCCGCCTACGACTGTGTCAGTGACGACGACGGCGACAAAGACGCTTACAACGTACACTGAAGACAGTGATGTAACCGTACCGCGGTGTATCATTAAACATTGTCACATTCCACTTCATTCCAAGGATTGTTCCAATTGCGTATTTATTGACCACCACGTGTCATTGCTTGAACTCATTATGGTGAACCGGGATACGTTTTACAAAAACATTGCTGAGAATATTCACCAAGAAAGCAAATGATAAATGATGTGAAAATATTTTACAACAGTGGAGTACTATTTGTTATGGCTAGCAGGCTAATTCAACGTGAGCAGTGTATGCATGCGCGAAATGCAACTTTTACTGCCAGTTACAACATAGGAATTAGCCGATAATGATTACCCACAATTCTAAAAATTCTACAATTGTTATTATTCTAAAATTGTTGTCACGATTTTACTCCCTGAGCTGTTCAGTAGCTGGCGCTACCAGCTCAGTCACATCACCCCGAGTATATCTCTCTTTGTAGTATGTGTGCACCCGTCATGTAAGAATTACCACTGAACATATGTTAGGTCAAAATACATGTATTGTTTATTTGCCACAATAGTCGTCAACATTTAACATACAAAATATAATGTTCATATAGAATTCCGCCACTTTACATTTCACTTTAAGACATAGTTGTCATGCCATGTTGTCATGGTGATAACTCGAAAATTAAGTAGATGCGACTGTTCACAGAATATCGTTTCCGTTGCAACATTTCAATCGTACTTGTATTCCGGAAACTGCCGAGAGTTATTGATAAGAGTTGTTATCAAGTGATCTGACGTCATAGTGGAGAGATGACTTGCAGATCACTGTTTCTGCATAGTGTTTGATAGATGACTTGCGTTCGCCATGGCATCACCAGGCAATGCTATTTTCGCTCAATGACCTTACACATATTCGTCCATGTCAATATGAGCCCGTGGTTAGTAGTCTTGACAGCAGCGAGGAAAGCCAGGTAGATCTGTGAGTGAAGGCTATCAATCAGATGTCAACACGGAACGACAAGGGAACACAATCTGGTGATAAAAGGCTATCTTGACGTTTCTAAATAAAATGGATGTTTATCAATAAAAGAATTTCTTTTTCCTGTGTAAAACACTTACCATTGTCAAAACCTTGCTCATCGTGTTGTCTTTAATGCAAAACAATTAGTAGAGGTCTAAACCTAAATTTGTTTTGAACATGAATGTTCTGTGTTAATGGTATTTCTAGTGATGGTTGGTTCAGTTAATACTGCCCTTTAAACAGTCGTAATAATACATACTTCACTGACCAATAGAGGGATGTTAGTGGCCGGCAGATGGCCGCCTACATGCACAATGACTCCACTCGGCATGATTATTACATGGACTACCATATACTAGGGAGAGACGAGAAATGAATACGTATCTAACCTAAAACAGTTTTTTGTCATACAATAACTTACCTTAGGTTTAGAGAGAATATGACTGAAATAATTATCGCTGGTGGAACCAGAGGCGTGATTCAGGGGGTTAAACCCCCCCTGCCCCTTGAAATCCAGGAGTTAAAACTACCCCCTCCCAACCAAGGTAGAATGAGTTCGTTTGAAAAAGCCCAGATCCATTTATAAATAATAAATAATAAACATGTATCCAATAAGACTGACACACAAATTCTTTTTTTCACATTAACATTTATCGTAAAATCATTCCAAAGGCAATTACATGTACTTCATATTTTTTTATATGTTTCGATTTTCATGACTAAAACATCTTCATCTAAATCCCTTCCCCGTTTTGTATAAAGAAGGTGTATAGAATGTACGTGGTAGTGAGTATTAATCTGTTTGCTCTTCTTTTTTTAAAATGAAACACTCAGTTGATTTCAGGGCTTACAGATAGCAATCAACTGTGCATACAGATCATTCTCACCTTCAAGTCTAGTTTACTGAAGATGTCCAAAAAATGTAAAAACGTTCATCCTGTATGTTTTGTGAATAACATGAGAGGTCTTTCCTGACACATGCAAGGGCTTCAAGTATGCACGACCATGAAATGAATATGTGCCTTTATGTACACCAAAACTGTAGCATATGGTATTGCCTTAACATGTAATCTGATCAATTAGCATGGTCTTTTGCAATTGTTGTACGGCGGTAGTCAGTCAACAATGAATGCTATATATACTTCGTAAACAAGTACTTTTTGTTTGTCTGCATCTCTCTCATAGACAGAGACGCTAAATCGGCCCTTTCTCTTTGACATTTGAAGACATCACACTTTGTACATTTGTTTGATGAACGAGTACATGTACACCCCTTTGCAACACAATACCCAATTTCGCGTCTTCAGTACACCGAAAATCACCTAATTGGCATACAGATTAATGCACTATAAATACAAGAAAATGGCGGACGTCTCTCCACTGTGACGTCACAGCTACAGCTCGGCCCCCAACTGGGATATCAATATTGTTGTTTGTTGCTTTTAAGATAACAATGAAATCACGTATGACTTTTTTGGGTGTAAATATGTACTTTGTATGATTATTTAACATGTTTTAAAAACGTTTTTTTCAATAGATCTCCTTTAAACAGTCGGGCTTACAATCAACTAAGAGTATGAGTAAGTACATTTTCCCGAGGCAAGGGAGTTAACTGACTTTACAAGTACAGTTTCCACCCTTGCAGAACAAGGCTGGAATTTCTGGACTCGATCGTAGCGCCACCAGTGGCTATTACGAGTTATGTCCTTTCTATGTCCCTCCTATTGACTTATCAGATCCCACCTCTCATATCACTTGCATTTGCTTCAAACAAGATGGCGGCGCCCAGTCAAGACGATCTGATCGATAAATCAAACGGGTCTTACTTCGCGAAGTGCATCAAATCACGTGATCATATAGTTTAAAAACATGAAAAGGTTTTGAATACATATTTTGATGCTAAATTGACGGTACATATGCTTTGCAAATCTGCACGGCAGTTTACGAACCGGATGTCGATTTCGTTACGCGATTTTGATTGGTTTATGCCCTCGTTAGTCCAGGGAAGATGGATCATTAGATTCCCAAGTCACATCTACAAACTCCTATTGATGGAGAAACAGTGGCTTAATTCCATCAATACATCGCCTTATTTGACTTGTGTGAAACCTCAAATTGACTGGTTAACTGTCGGGGAAGCGTGTGCATTGCCGATAGCTACCACTGCAATGATCACCATGTTACAACACTCTAACTACCACATGACGAGATATGACCAGAAGCCGCAGGAGTGGATCGCCTGTGATCCTTAGGCAGGCAAGCCCTTATGTTGAAGAAAGGAGATGAAAGTTTCGTTTGGCCGTGTCCTCTTAGCACTTAGTTTCCTAGTAGACATTCAGACCGTGTCTTCACATGGTACACACACTGTCCACTGATCGGGTTACTAACGTCAATGTATATAGCTGTACGTATAAATGTGTATGTAATATCTGTCTTTGATAATTATGATAGTATGGATTGCCCATATATGATGAATATTGTGGCTTTGTACAATATATAATCGTTCTCTCTTCTCTCTCTCTCTCTCTTCTCTCTCTCTTCCTGTTATAATTACACGGATATTTAAAACTATTCTTTATGAATGATAAAACAGAAACGACTATCCTGTTAGTCATGATCAGATTGGAATGACGGGTCTTTGGTATCACTACACTTTGTTCATGATCAGAGAAATATCACGACACTTTGTTCATGATCAGAGAGATATCACGACTCTTTGTTCGTGATCAGAGAGATATCATGACACTTTATTCATGATCAGAGAAATATCACAACACTCTGTTCATTATCAGAGAAATATCACGACACTTTGTTCATGATCAGAGAAATATGACTACACTTTGTCCATGATCAGAGAAATATCACTACACTTTGTTCATGATCAGAGGGATATCCCATTTCTTGTTTCTCAACACCAATAAATCATTTGATCAAAGATGCCATACCCAAATTGACGATGTAAAGTAGTTAATGAGAAGGGGAGTTTTTTATTGAGTGAAACGACCTTACTTCTAGAAATGGAATGCGTACATAGAACAAAGTGTATCCATATGGCGGTTTCAGCCTGCATGTATTAATGTATCACATAAGCTCAAAAGAAAGCAAAAGAAAGTATACAACTCAGTTGGGTATTATATTATTTTTTATTTTCAATTGAATATATCCTAAGATAGGTATAGTATATCCAAAACATGAACTGTACTGGCGCTTATAGTCAGCACTCATAGAAACATCTACTTGGTTGTATTTAAAAAAATGTAATTTAGTCTTTAGAACAAAAACAATACAATTCGCATAATACACAACTGCCGATGAGTATCTTAGACATCTTATCTTTGAAAATTAATAAATTTGCTTTTTTCGGCACTGATTTACAACATTTTAAACATGGTAGGAGTCATGTAATTGCGAATTCATTGAACCATTTTTTTTTACACGAAATTACCAAGCAACAGATTACTTTTTACAAACTGTTACAGGAATGAGTGATGGTTAAATAGACATAATTGAATATAACAACAGTTCTTCCAATTTTCAATTCCATAAAAAATAAACTAGGTATACTTTCTTTCAGTTTCCTTCAGTGTAGATGTTTAGTCATATCCAAATCAGCACTATGATAATTCCGAATGTAAAAATATTAAGATATGTCCTTGCTCGTATGTACCTAAAATGGTCATTTTTGTTTGTTTTTAGTAACCGTTTGAATAAATGATAAACCAAACTAAATAGTTTGTGTTTTTGTCATAATTGTATGAAATGACACGTTACACCAGATCGAGGTATATCTGATCAGTTAGGTGTTATCATTGTATCAAACGTCAGCCTGATCAGGTCGGTGTTGTATCAAAAGTCAGCCTGATCAGGTAGGTGTTATCATTGTATCAAAAGTCAGCCAAATCAGGTAGGTGTTATCACCGTATAAAAAGTCAGCCTGATCAGGTAGGTGTTATCATTGTATCAAAAGTCAGCCCAATCAGGTAGGTGTTATCATCGTATCAAAAGTCAGCCTGATCAGGTAGGCGTTATGATTGTATCAAACGTCAGCCTCATCAGGTAGGTGTTATCATTGTATCAA